TACACTTGGAAAATCTTGGAAGGAATAGTCCTGAATCTGCACACAGAAATCACTCCCTACGAAAGTAAAAGACTGGGCAGGTGATGCAAAATACCCCCAATTAAAAGTAGGGGCACCATTGGTACACTAAGAGAAAACACCATAAGTGTCCGGGAGCCAAGGCTGTTCAACAGCCTCCCACCAAGCATAAGGGGAATTACCTATAGGCCCCTGGCTGCCTTCGACAGGGAGCTGGACAGATACCTAAAGTCAGTGCCGGATCAGCCGGGCTGTGGCTCGTACGTTGGACTGCGTGCGGCCAGCAGTAACAGCCTGGTTGATCAGGCCTTAATCCACCGGGAGACCTGGTCGTGGACCAAGTCGCGGGGGCGTTGATATCCGGAATAACCTCCAGGTAGACTCCAGGTAGACCTACGTATAAAAGGTTAGTATTACAAAGGAATGTTGGGACGACTAAATATTCTTTTATGGCACTTGAGATGAACCCATTTCCCGCCCTCTGGAATTATGTAAGATATTTTGTAAACACCAGTTAATGTAACCCTCAGTCTATGGTCCGGGCAAGTATAACAAGGAAGGCGCTGCAATGAATCACAGAATACCTGACGGGAAGACATCAGCGAGTCATGGTATTTGACGAGGTTTCAGAGTGGGCGCCTGTGACGAGCGGGGTTTCAAAGGGGTCAGTCCTAGGACCGGTGCTGTTCCTGGTATATGTGAATGACATGACGGAAGGAATAGACACAGAAGTGTCCCCTGCTTGCAGACGATGTGAAGTTAATGAGGAGAATTCTGTCGGAGGAGGATAAGACAGGACTACAGAGGGATCTGGATAGGCTGCAGACCTGGTCCAGCAACTGGCTCGTGGAATTCAACCCCATCAAGTGCAAAGTCATGAAGATCAGGGGAAGGGCAAAAAAGACCGCAGACAGAGTACAGTCTAGGGGGCTATAGACTACAAACCTCACTCAAGTAAAAGGATCTTGGAGTGTGTATAATACCGAGCACATCTCCTGAGGAGCACATCAACCAAATAACTGCTGCAGCATATGGTCGCCTAGCGACATCTCAGTAAGGAGTCGTTCCGGCCTCTGTACACAGAGTACGTCAGGCCCATATAGAAGTATGCAGCTCCAGTTTGGAACCCTCTCCTGGCCACTAAACTAGAGAAAGTGCGAAGGTTAAGAGAACTCAACCTGACAACACTGGAGAACAGGAGGGACAGGGAGGACATGATAACAGCATATAAAATACTGAGAGGAATCGACAAGGCGGATAAAGATAGGAAGTACCAGAGATGGAACACAGCAACAAGGGGTCACTGTTGGCAGCTGAAGACTTACATGAGTCACAGGGATGTTAGGAAGTATTTCTTCAGCCAAAGAGTTGTCACGAAGTGGAACAGTCTGGAAAGTGACGTAGTGGATGCAGGATCTATACACAGATATAAGAAGAGAGAGGAAAACGCTCATGGAGCAGAGAGAGAGTTGACCTAGTAGTGATCCGCGAAGGGGCGGGTCCAAGAGCTGTGACTAGACCTCTGCAACCAAAAATATTTAAAATAGGTAAGAATACACACACACACACACACACACACACACACACCACACACACACACACACACACACACACACACACACACACACATACACACACACACACACACACACACACACACACACACACACACACACACACACAAATAATAAATATAAGAATACAAACAAACGAAGAGCCAAAAACACTACAAAATGGCCTGGAGAGGATGCAAGTCTCCTCTGTCATGTTTCTAATAGAATTAAACCCAAACAAATGCAAAGTTTTGATGTCTGGACCAGAAAGACACCAGACCTGATGTCTGGGGACCAGAAAGACACCAGACCTGATGTCTGGGGACCAGAAAGACACCAGACCTGATGTCTGGGGACCAGAAAGACACCAGACCTGATGTCTGGGGACCAGAAAGACACCAGACCTGATGTCTGGGGACCAGAAAGACACCAGACCTGATGTCTGGGGACCAGAAAGACACCAGACCTGATGTCTGGGGACCAGAAAGACACCAGACCTGACTGAAGAAAGAGAACCTCAGGTGAGCTTAGTACTGAACACATCACCTGAGAACCTCAGGTGAGCTTAGTACTGAACACATCACCTGGGAACCTCAGGATGAACTTAGTACTGAACACATCACCTGAGAACCTCAGGTGAGCTTAGTACTGAACACATCACCTGGGAACCTCAGGTGAGCTTAGTACTGAACACATCACCTGAGAACCTCATCAAAGAAACAAATACTGTAGGTAATGCTTGTTCAAGAAGTCTAAGCTTTACTCTCAGAAACCTTTGCAAAAAACTGTTCCCGATTCCTTATACGTCATACGTCAGCAAGATAACAGAGTATGCAGCGCCAGCATGGAGCCCACACTGAGGAAACAAGTCAGAAACTGAACAAAATAAACAGGTTTGTAACTAGACTTAAGGGTATGATGTATGAGTGGAGATTAATATGTCTGCTGACTTAAGTAAACACGATTTGGGGTGTTGTGATAATGACATACAAAATACTGAGAGAAATGAATAGGGGTGAACAGGAAGAGATTATACGAGAGGCGAGGAACACTAACACGAGAACATAACTGGATATTGAAAATAATGATAACTCACAAGGCAGTTTGAAAGTTTTATTCAGCCATAGGGAAGTTAATTAATATTTGGAACGACCTGGAGAGTGAGGCATTAGAGGCAGGAGGCATGAAGAGCTTTAAGAAGAGGTACGAAACGATTCGTGAATCCAGGAGAGAGTGAACCCTGCTCCTGCCGCCGAAGTGGAGCCAGGAGCTGTGACTCGACCCTCTGCAGCCAAAAAAGACGTGAGGACCTTATGATAATTACTAACTTACAAACACTCTCAAGCTTCACGTCAACCTCCCCCCCCCCGCCATTACTGACTTACAAACACTCTCATGCTTCACGTCAACCTCCCCCCCCCCCCGCCATTACTGACTTACAAACACTCTCAAGCTTCACGTCAACCTCCCCCCCCCGCCATTACTGACTTACAAACACTCTCAAGCTTCACGTCAACCTCCCCCCCCCCCGCCATTACTGACTTACAAACACTCTCAAGCTTTCACGTCAACCTCCCCCCCCGCCATTACTGACTTACAAACACTCTCAAGCTTCACGTCAACCTCCCCCCCCGCCATTACTGACTTACAAACACTCTCAAGCTTCACGTCAACCTCCCCCCCGCCATTACTGACTTCCAAACACTCTCAGCTTCACGTCAACCTCCCCCCCCGCCATTACTGACTTACAAACACTCTCAAGCTTCACGTCAACCTCCCCCCCCCGCCATTACTGACTTACAAAACACTCTCTATGCTTCACGTCAACCTCTCCCCCCCGCCATTACTGACTTACAAACACTCTCAAGCTTCACGTCAACCTCCCCCCCCCCGCCATTACTGACTTACAAACACTCTCATGCTTCACGTCAACCTCTCCCCCCCGCCATTACTGACTTACAAACACTCTCATGCTTCACGTCAACCTCCCCCCCACCATTACTGACTTACAAACACTCTCAAGCTTCACGTCAACCTCCCCCCCCCCCGCCATTACTGACTTACAACACTCTCATGCTTCACGTCAACCTCCCCCCCCCCCCGCCATTACTGACTTACAAACACTCTCAAGCTTCACGTCAACCTCCCCCCCCCCCCGCCATTACTGACTTACAAACACTCTCAAGCTTCACGTCAACCTCTCCCCCCCCGCCATTACTGACTTACAAACACTCTCAAGCTTCACGTCAACCTCCCCCCCCCCGCCATTACTGACTTACAAACACTCTCAAGCTTCACGTCAACCTCCCCCCCCCCCCGCCATTACTGACTTACAAACACTCTCAAGCTTCACGTCAACCTCCCCCCCCCGCCATTACTGACTTACAAACACTCTCAAGCTTCACGTCAACCTCCCCCCCCGCCATTACTGATTTACAAACACTCTCATGCTTCACGTCAACCTCCCCCCCGCCATTACTGACTTACAAAACACTCTCAAGCTTCACGTCAACCTCCCCCCCCCCGCCATTACTGACTTACAAACACTCTCAAGCTTCACGTCAACCTCCCCCCCCGCCATTACTGACTTACAAACACTCTCATGCTTCACGTCAACCTCCCCCCCCGCCATTACTGACTTACAAACACTCTCAAGCTTCACGTCAACCTCCCCCCCGCCATTACTGACTTACAAACACTCTCAAGCTTCACGTCAACCTCCCCCCCCCCCGCCATTACTGACTTACAAACACTCTCATGCTTCACGTCAACCTCCCCCCCCCCCCGCCATACTGACTTGCAAACACTCTCATGCTTCACGTCAACCTCCCCCCCCCGCCATTACTGACTTACAAACACTCTCAAGCTTCACGTCAACCTCCCCCCCCCCGCCATTACTGACTTACAAACACTCTCATGCTTCACGTCAACCTCCCCCCCCCCCGCCATTACTGACTTACAAACACTCTCAAGCTTCACGTCAACCTCCCCCCCGCCTTTACTGACTTACAAACACTCTCAAGCTTCACGTCAACCTCCCCCCCCCGCCATTACTGACTTACAAACACTCTCAAGCTTCACGTCCAACCTCCCCCCCCGCCATTACTGACTTACAAACACTCTCAAGCTTCACGTCAACACCCCCCCCCCCCCGCCATTACTGACTTACAAACACTCTCAAGCTTCACGTCAACCTCCCCCCCCCGCCATTACTGACTTACAAACATCTCATGCTCACGTCAACCTCTCCCCCCCCCCCCGCCATTACTGACTTACAAACACTCTCAAGCTTCAACGTCAACCTCCCCCCCCCGCCATTACTGACTTACAAACACTCTCATGCTTCACGTCAACCTCCCCCCCCCCGCCATTACTGACTTACAAACACTCTCATGCTTCACGTCAACCTCCCCCCCCCCCCCGCCTCACCTGTTGCTGTTGTTCATAGTCGAGGGGAGCAGTGAGGGCGAGGCGACCACTGCTGGCGTCAAGGGTGAAGGCACCATACTCATTCCCCTCAGTAAGTCTGAACTGTAGAGGCAGTCCTGGGAAAGAGAGGGGAGAGGTTTAGTGGCAGTCCTGAGAAAGAGAGGGGAGAGGTTTAGTGGCAGTCCTGGGAAAGAGAGGGGAGAGGTTTAGTGGTAGTCCTGAGAAAGAGAGGGGAGAGGTTTAGTGGCAGTCCTGAGAAAGAGAGGGGAGAGGTTTAGTGGTAGTCCTGAGAAAGAGAGGGGAGAGGTTTAGTGGCAGTCCTGGGAAAGAGAGGGAAGAGGTTTAGTGGCAGTCCTGGGAAAGAGAGGGAAGAGGTTTAGTGACAGTCCTGTGAAAGAGAGGGGAGAGGTTTAGTGGCAGTCCTGGGGAAGAGAGGGAAGAGGTTTAGTGGCAGTCCTGAGAAAGAGAGGGGAGAGGTTTAGTGGCAGTCCTGAGAAAGAGAGGGGAGAGGTTTAGCGGCAGTCCTGAGAAAGAGAGGGGAGAGGTTTAGTGGCAGTCCCTGGGGAAGAGAGGGAAGAGGTTTAGTGGCAGTCCTGAGAAAGAGAGGGAGAGGTTTAGTGGCAGTTCTGGGAAAGAGAGGGAAGAGGTTTAGTGGCAGTCCTGGGAAAAAGAGGGAAGAGGTTTAGTGGCAGTCCTGGGAAAGAGAGGGAAGAGGTTTAGTGGCAGTCCTGGGAAAAAGAGGGAAGAGGTTTAGTGGCAGTCCTGGGAAGAGAGAGGGAGAGGTTTAGTGGCAGTCCTGGGAAAGAGAGGGAAGAGGTTTAGTGGCAGTCCCGGGAAAGAGAGGGGAGAGGTTTAGTGGCAGTCCGGGAAAGAGAGGGGAGAGGTTTAGTGACAGTCCTGGGAAAGAGAGGGGAGAGGTTTAGTGGCAGTCCTGGGAAAGAGAGGGGAGAGGTTTAGTGCAGTCCTGGGAAGAGAGGGGAGAGGTTTAGTGGCAGTCCTGGGAAAGAGAGGGGAGAGGTTTAGTGGCAGTCCTGGGAAAGAGAGGGGGGAGGTTTAGTGACAGTCCTGGGAAAGAGAGGGGAGAGGTTTAGTGACAGTCCTGGGAAAGAGAGGGAAGAGGTTTAGTGGCAGTCCTGGAAAGAGAGGGAGAGGTTTAGTGGCAGTCCTGGGAAAGAGAGGGGAGAGGTTTAGTGGCAGTCCTGGGAAAGAGAGGGGAGAGGTTTAGTGACAGTCCTGGGAAAGAGAGGGAAGAGGTTTAGTGGCAGTCCTGGGAAAGAGAGGGGAGAGTTTTAGTGGCAGTCCTGGGAAAGAGAGGGGAGAGGTTTAGTGGCAGTCCTGGGAAAGAGAGGGGAGAGGTTTAGTGGCAGTCCTGGGAAAGAGAGGGGAGAGGTTTAGTGGCAGTCCTGAGAAAGAGAGGGAGAGGTTTAGTGGCAGTCCTGGAAAGAGAGGGGAGAGGTTTAGTGGCAGTCCTGGGATAGAGAGGGGAGAGGTTTAGTGGCAGTCCTGGGAAAGAGAGGGGAGAGGTTTAGTGGCAGTCCTGGGAAAGAGAGGGGAGAGGTTTAGTGGCAGTCCTGGGAAAGAGAGGGGAGAGATGCACTGCTGACACTGATAAAAAGTGGGAAGAGTACTGCTGACATTGATGGAGAGAAGGGAGAGAAGTACTGCTGACAGTGAGAGAGGGGAGAGAGGTACTGGTGACAGTGAGAGAGGGGAGAAAAAGTACTGCTGACAGTGAGAGAGGGAAGAGAGGTACTGCTGACAGTGTGAGAGGGAAAAGAAGTACTCCTGACAGTGAGAGAAGGGAGAGAAGTACTGCTGACAGTGAGAGAGGGGAGAGAAGTACAGGTGACAGTGAGAGAAAGGAGAGAAGGACTGCTGACAGTGAGAGAGGGAGAGAAGGACTGCTGACAGTGAGAGAGGGGAGAGAAGTACTGCTGACAGTGAGAGAAGGGAGAGAAGGACTGCTGACAGTGAGAGAGGGGAGAGAAGGACTGCTGACAGTGAGAGAGGGGAGAGAAGTACTGCTGACAGTGAGAGAAGGGAGAGAAGGACTGCTGACAGTGAGAGAGGGGAGAGAAGGACTGCTGACAGTGAGAGAGGGGAGAGAAGTACTGTTGACAGTGAGAGAGGGGAGAGAAATACCGCTGACAGTGGGACTGCTGACAGTGAGAGAGAGGGAGAGAAGTACTGCTGACAGTGAGAGAGGGAGAGAAGTACTGCTGACAGTGAGAGAGAGGGAGAGAAGTACTGCTGACAGTGAGAGAGGGAGAGAAGTACTGCTGACAGTGGGACTGCTGACAGTGAGAGAGGGGAGAGAAGTACTGCTGACAGTGAGAGAGAGGGAGAGAAGTACTGCTGACAGTGAGAGAGGGGAGAGAAGTACTGCTGACAGTGGGACTGCTGACAGTGAGAGAGAGGGAGAGAAGTACTGCTGACAGTGAGAGAGAGGGAGAGAAGTACTGGTGACTGTGAGAGAGGGGAGAGAAGTACTGCTGACAGTGACAGAGGGGAGAGAAGTACTGCTGACAGTGAGAGAGTGGGAGAGAAGTACTGCTGACAGTGAGAGAGAGGGAGAGAAGTACTGCTGACAGTGAGATAGGGAAGAGAAGTACTGCTGACAGTGAGAGAGAGGGAGAGAAGTACTGCTGACAGTGAGAGAGGGGAGAGAAGTACTGCTGACAGTGAGAGAGGGGAGAGAAGTACTGCTGTCAGTGAGAGAGAGGGAGAGAAGTACTGGTGACAGTGAGAGAGGGGAGAGAAGTACTGCTGACAGTGAGAGAGGGGAGAGAAGTACTACTGACATTGAGAGAGGGGAGAGAAGTGCTGCTGATAGTGAGAGAGGGAAGAGAAGTACTGCTGGCAGTGAGTGAGGGGAGAGAAGTACTGCTGACAGTGAGAGAGGGGAGAGAAGTACTGCTGACAGTGAGAGAGGGGAGAGAAGTACTGCTGACAGTGAGAGAGGGGAGAGAAGTACTGCTGACAGTGAGAGAGGGAAGAGAAGTACTGCTGATAGTGAGAGAGGGGAGAGAAGTACTGCTGACAGTGAGGGGAGAGAAGTGCTGCTGACAGTGAGAGAGGGGAGAGAAGTACTGCTGACAGTGAGAGAGGGTAGAGAAGTGCTGCTGACAGTGAGAGAGGGGAGAGAAGTACTGCTGACAGTGAGAGAGGGAAGAGAAGTACTGCTGACAGTGAGAGAGGGGAGAGAAGTACTGCTGACAGTGAGGGGAGAGAAGTGCTGCTGACAGTGAGAGAGGGGAGAGAAGTGCTGCTGACAGTGAGAGAGGGGAGAGAAGTACTACTGACATTGAGAGAGGGGAGAGAAGTGCTGCTGACAGTGAGAGAGGGAAGAGAAGTACTGCTGACAGTGAGAGATGGGAGAGAAGTACTGCTGACAGTGAGGGGAGAGAAGTGCTGCTGACAGTGAGAGAGGGGAGAGAAGTGCTGCTGACAGTGAGAGAGGGGAGAGAAGTACTACTGACAGTGAGAGAGGGGAGAGAAGTACTGCTGGCAGTGAGTGAGGGGAGAGAAGTACTGCTGACAGTGAGAGAGGGAGAGAAGTACTGCTGACAGTGAGAGAGGGAGAGAAGTACTGCTGACAGTGAGAGAGAGGGAGAGAAGTACTGCTGACAGTGAGAGAGGGAGAGAAGTACTGCTGACAGTGAGAGAGGGAGAGAAGTACTGCTGACAGTGAGAGAGGGAGAGAAGTACTGCTGACAGTGAGAGAGGGAGAGAAGTACTGCTGACAGTGAGAGAGAGGGAGAGAAGTACTGCTGACAGTGAGAGAGAGGGAGAGAAGTACTGCAGATAGTGAGAGAGGGAGAGAGGTACTGCTGACTGTGAGAGAGGGAGAGAAGTACTGCTGACAGTGAGAGAGGGAGAGAAGTACTGCTGACAGTGAGAGAGAGAGAGCTGTTGTGTTCACTAACATTACTATTTTTATTATTGTCAGGTAATAGAGGAAAGGTGTTATATATTTGTTACGTTTCTAATGTGTGTGTCCTCACCTAGTTGTGGTTGCAGGGGTCGATTCACAGCTCCTGGCCCCGTCCGTATGTGTGTTTGTATGTTTGTGTGTGTCTATGTATGTGAGTGTGAGTGTGTGTTATGGGCTACAGGTTCGTATTTGTAGGTAAATAATATGTTCAAAATCAAGGCCTGGCCATGGGAAATCTGCCGAGTCCATTACTCAGCAAGTTGTATATGGAATTCTATGAGACTAGAATCCTAAAAAAATATCGTTTCTATTAATGCCAAGTGATTCAGATACGTAGACAAAGTTGTGTGTCTGTGGCCTAGATGTCACGGTGTTGATGAGTTCCTTCCTAGACTCATTGATTTAGTACTCTTAATTATGGTTACCACAGAACATGAAGCAGGTAACTGATTGCCTTTCCTAGATCTTCTAATCCATCGTGCTGACGAGAAATTTTATTTTACAGTGTACATAAAGTCAAATAATGTGTCGTCGTACATTCAGTATTATTCCAGTGATGAATCTAGGGTTAAAAGGAGTGTTTTCCTTACAATGTTCTTGAGAACTTGGAGTATTTGTAGCCTGGAATATTTGGATGATGAAATTAATAAGGCATTCAACATAGCCACTAAACATAGATATCTAAGGGACTTTGTTGATAAAGAGTTATTGGTAGCCAAGAAGACTTTCAACAGGATTTTCAACACCTAGGGAAGTGCCTTCAAGGAAAAATATACTTGTTCTGCCTGTGTGATGCATTGAAAAAGCTAAATACAATATATTGTCTTCAATAACAGAGAGACAGTGAAGTAGAAGGTGGTTAACAATGCACCATCCAACATTGTTGGTGGTGTTTACAAAGTCCCATGCACGGTATGGTAAACCACTTTGAATCAGATTAGCCTAACATCAGCACTTGATGGTAGGCAAGACACATGGGCAACAGTTAGGCAACTTTATTCCGAAACGTTTCGCCTACACAGTAGGCTTCTTCAGTCGAATACAGAAAGTAGGCAGGAACAGTAGAGATGTGAAGACGATGTAATCAGTCCATCACCCTTGAAGTCGTAGAATTTGAGGTTGTCAGTCCCTCAGCCTGGAGAAGTTCAGTTCCATAGTCAGGAACCATCTGAGATAGTTCCA